TTTTTTTTTTTTTTTTTTTTTTTTGACAATATATATTTATCTATAATATTATATATCTATCTTCTTTTTCTTTTAGAAATAAAAGCAAAGAGTTTTTAAATATTGAATGAATTCACAATATGAGTATTATAAGATGATACATAAAATCTTAAATTTGTTCTGCATTTTACACACACACACATACATACACACACAGTTGCTATATTTTTATAATATAAAGAATGTTTACATACACATGATAACGTGATAATATTATGAGGAACGCTTACGGTATATCTCTTTAAACTGCTACATGGTGAATTTAACATGGTTTTACAGTTATTTCATGTTAAATCCTTACAATAAAGCTAAGTTTATATAATAGACAAGTCACAACAGATAAAGGTTTAATGACTTGAAAAAGTATTTCATATTATGGTTAATAAAAATTATTAAAAATTAAATGTTAATTATATATATATATATAGAAAATGGGAAAAAGATTAACGATTTGTTTAACTCTCTAACAGTAAGGTTGGGGTTACATGCGACCTTACTGCTCAATTATTTTACAGTGTGCACTCGCTGTTTCTCTCCTTAAGAAATGTTTCATGTTGTTATTTACCTTTTTTCACCCATTTTGTACATTGATTGTCTGAAAAATAAACAAAATACAGCATAGAGTGGGGTCCAACCCCACTTTCCTGGATACGTTGGAAATCCATCTTGCCGTTAGAGAGTTAAAATCATAGAATACAATGCACACGTTTGCTACTTTACCAAATGCAAATACCAAATTTGCAGTTTTTTGTTATTTGAAAAGAATGATTATTTTATATAGTTGGGTATAAATTAATATTAGTACTTTTTGTTTGTAATAAACTTATTAACACGATTATTTTTTCGTAAAAATAAATGTTTGAGACAGTATATTATGAGGAGTATCATATATTCATTATAAAACTGAACAAATTATCCATCTGTTTCCACAACGTTCACATCCTTCTGAAAATCACGAACAAACTCGAATATTTTCCACAATTCTTTTCCCATGTCACAATAAGTCCAATTATTCTGTAAGACTCGACTTTCCTTGTCAGTATTCCTCGTTAATATTTATCGTTAGACTTTAGCTGAAATTGACAATACACGAGATGTATCTTTAATTTTTATCGAGCGTCTCGATATTCCAGCGAAGAAGCTATACCAGGGTGTCCATTACCTAGAAAAAAACTATTGAACTTGTATAATATACTGGAAGGCACAGTAGTAGGGACCGTAGCCTTTAAGTAGGCCTGTGAGATAAAGGTCTAAGTAATCTTTCTCTTCTGTCTTACTAATATGTTATATAGTCTATACTAATATGCTATATAGCCTATATAGACTAAGATAAGACGAACACAAACAAATAAAGACGGGGATACTACTTAAATACTATTTCTCTCGGCACGAGGTCATCTGGCAGAAACGAAGGCAGTGTTCATTTCAGTTTATTATATTGTTCAATGAAAAAAACTTTTGAAATCCTCAGGAAATTTGTTTATATCTGAAAAACCAAAGAATTCTCAGGGAATTTTAAATAAACATTTTTGTCTGCAAGCTATATCATCGCGTTATTCATAAACAAATATTGTGTGGTTGACTGAATTTTATTTAATATTTTCTTCATTACAAATCGTAGGAAAAGTGATTCAAAATTCTTTCACTTGATTCGAATCATAGGAAAAATGGTTCAAAATTCTTTCACTTAATTCTTAATTACATTTTAATTAAGGAATAGCGCTATATAAATTATAGGAGCGAACTTATTACCATTCTGTATATATATACATTTAAAGTTGTTTGAAGTTTCTGTTTAATATTTAAATTGACTCATCCAACACTCCTTTTACGTTTATAATAGATTCTCTCTTTTGTTCTACATATATTTACGTATATAATTAAAATGTTTAATTATGTTCTGATGTTTAGAGCACATTGACAACTAATATGATATTCAGTATTAAAGACAACGATTTTAATTAACGAGTGTAATTTTCTTTAACCCTTTCGGTACATTTGACGAGTGAGACTCGTCATCTGCTTACTTGGACATAAAATATATTACTTTTACATATTAATCCATATAGCGACAAATTAAATCCGTCCCATGGGCATAAAAATCTTAAAATAATTCAGTACTCAAAGGGTTAATTAAAACAGGCATTTATATTTTAATAGATTTATAAAAATTGCAATTTGTACCGACTATTTATTACATAATTTTTTCGTTAGTAACTTTTGAAAACAAAATTTTTAAGTTTTATGTAATATAAAAATTTATTTTTTTTTATCTTTACAATTTCTTTTAAAATTGTTCAAATTTAATCATTGGAACTCGAAAGATTTCTAATTTTACTTTATGATTTATAAACTTTTGTGAATGGAAAATATTAAGGACTTCGCATAATAAATGCATAATTATTTGCAAGATATATTTAACAATACCTGCATTTTATCTGGGACTGTTAACAAATTGCCTAGGTAATCAGGGAATTTCTTTTTTCGTGTTTGAGTAGACACCCTGAATACACATCCCTCCCGGTGACTCGTAATTATGCGGTTTCCTCTGACCAACTTTCCTTCATCGCTCGCTAATCTGAGGAAGGAAGGCGAGCTGTGACGCTCGTACCGTAGCGGTAGAAATCTCGGGACGGCACGTTCGCACAGCCAGCTACTGTACTGATTCAACTCACCTACGTCACGCGGGGGGATTCCACGTGCGTGAAATCCCTCCTCGGGAGAAATTATGTAGCCGATTTTTTGCCGGTGCGGCGAGGATGCGTACACGAAGAGGTGCACTGGGCGCGCAAGTCGCTCATCGCGATCGCTGATCGTGCGCGCCAAGATGTAATTTATTTGACTTGCCGGTGCTTTCGTTATCACGGAAACGCCGCGTTCGTCGCAAAAAGAGTTCCGACAGTGCGACGAAACGCGTCGCTTCGCTCGTTCCACGCCGTAAACGCGCGGTTTTATGGTGGGGTTTATGATTTTCTTGCTTTTTTTGTCTCCGCCAATCGAGCCGCCCCGAAATCAGGAGCAAAAATTGCGATCTCCGTACGGTATATTCGGAAGATATGGGATACACCTCTTACCTCCGAGATCAATCGCGCTCGATGGGCGTTGTTTTACTCGCTACAAAAATTACGTTCGTGGAAATCCCGAGATCGATTTAAGGCTCCGTGAGTAAGAGGATAAATGATGATTCTTCGAATGGGATTCTCGTCCAGTCGACTTACTCTTTTTGTCCTTTAATTTTCCAGTGACTTACGATTAGGAAGCAATCACAGATCCGCAGGACAGATTCATAAAACTAGAACAACGAATGTCGTTCTGCGGTTAGAAGAATAATGGGAGGATGGATATATTATATATTTGAATGAGATTCACACATATCTCGGCAGTCTGCATTGGTAATTATAGTTAAAAAATACTAAAATTTTCATTAGCAGAGTAGTTTATTCACTCATAAGAATAAAATTATAATAATACAGAAAAATATATATATATAATATTTTTGTTTAATAAAATGTATTTTTAGGGAATAGGAAGAAATGCTTTAAGTAAAAGTTGTTTGGTATCGAGGATAACATATTTTGATAAAAAATACAATGTCGTCAGAAGAATGACGAAGAATAAAACGAGCTCCATCCAGTATTCGCAGAATTGCGGTACGTATTATTTATCAAAGTTCATATCGACATTTTTTGTATTGTAGGAATCTCAAGTCGAGAACTGATGAAAGACGCTCTCCACAGTGATCGTTCATCCTCGAAAGAAAAATTTTCAGTTTCAACGATTCTTATTTCTTCTTCCTTATATCTTTTTGCTTCTATCCGGGAAAAAAATTTGTGATCATATAAAATTATATATGTATGCTTTTTTTACATGTGAATTTTATCTATATGGTTACATATATAATTATATATAATTATATGTCCACACACACAAAATGAAAATACTTTTGAATGTGAAAAACCGAAGAAACAGTTCAATTAAATATTTATATCGTGAGTAACCAATAACATAAGCATTTATTGCAATTATATTTGTATAACAGCAATTTTTAGATGTTATATATAACTATGTATGACTACATATAGACATACAGGGACAAAATTCATAAATAATTTTTTTTTTTCCGGGTGGTCGTTTTTTGTTTCACAAATCTTAGATTGTTTAATAGGTCCATGAAAATAGAATTTGTAATGCGTCGTTCTTCAATTGAAGCTTAAGAATCTACGGAGACAGAAAAGATATATCGACGTATATATTAGTACATATATTAGTACCATATATTAGTACATTTTTATTTTATTCGCTCTCGACGTGGGAATCTTCTCCTATCGTAATCAATAAACGTAAGCTTAACAGTATAGTGATAATTGGCCACGTGGAATGTCGATTTAGAAACTGATATATCTCCCACGCTTGCCGCGGTCAATTAGGTTTTCCCTGCCATGAATT